AATCCTAACAAACTTTAAGTGCTACAAACTCAAACTCAAACTTTCCTTCTCAACAATTACGTGTGCATATAATTAAAAGCAGACAGAAAACAATTTGCATGAAAGTTTTATAGGTCTCAAGGTAGGAATGCAAAAAATAAAATGCCTTGAAACACATTTTAAAATAAAAAATAAGCCAGGAGTGGTGGCACACAACTATAACGCCAGCACTCAGGAAGGCTGAGGCAGGAGGACAGCAATTCAAGCCCAGCTTGGGCAACTTAATGAGACTTTGTCTCAAAATTTTAAAAACAAACAAACAAATAAAAAAGAGGGTGAGGGATGTAGCTCAGTGTGAAGGCCCTGGGTTTAATCTGCAGTAAAACAGACATTCACACATTCACACACACACACACACACACACACACGCAGAGTATTCAAACAATCACAATTTAGGATTAACTTAGCAACTGCAGAAGGACAAGACATATATATCCTCACATTTCTGCTTCTGTCATTGATGTCCTTCCCCAGCCATTGCCATTCTTGTCCCCGGCACCTTCTCATCTTGTTGCATAACACACCAAGGCTCTCTCTTACATTTCTTTCTTTTTTTGGTACCAAGGATTGAACTCAGGAGCTTGTGCTTGAGAGGCAGGCAGTGGCACCACTGAACTAAATCCCTGTCCCTTCTCTTACATTTCTTTCCTACTTTTGTACTGCCAATATGCCAGGAGAAATGCCTAGCAGTCTAGACAATCATCTAAGCTCTTATACTCTTCTCCCTTTACCTCCCCGCATTGTGCAAGAGCATCACTATCAAACAGATGACCCTTAAAATGCAGAGTTACTCAAGCTCAGGGAACCTAAGACTCAGGTCTAGGAAAACTACTAATATTATGTTATTATATTGCAGACTAATAACTTTGTAATGTTTTTTTCAAAAATTGAGACAACATCTCATGAAGTTGCCCAGGCTGGTCTTGAATTTGCAATCCTGACTCAGCACCTGGAGTAGCCAGGAGTTTGAGCAAGGGCCACAGTGACTGACTTGAATTAATAAGTTTTTGTGAGTTGTCTGGCATAACAGGTTTTCTTTTGGAAAATGTTTTTTGAATTCTAAATAAACCCTATAACTCATTTAAAATTGGCTATAAAATTATAATATTATTCTGAAATTCCAGTCCTAAGTACCTATCAAAAACTAGCCAGGCATGGTGGCACATGACTATAATCCCAGCACTAGCGAAACTGAGGCAGAAAGATGACAAGCTCAAAGCCAGCTTGCACTATTTAGTGAGACCCTGCTAAAAAACAAACAAACAAACAAAAATCCTCTGAAAAGTCTCAAACAAGTACTTGTACACATATGCTCATAGTAGCTAAAAAGTAGAAATAACCTAACTGTCCACACTGATAAACAAAATACAGTATATACATATGAAGCAATATCATTTAACCATAAAAGGAATAAAGAACCAGTGCATGTTATAATATGGAAAACTTTGGAGACATTATGTTAGAATGAAAGAAGCTAAACACAAAAGGTCAAATATTACTTGGTTTCATTTATATGAAATATCTAGAGTAAAGCAAATTCACAGAGACAGTAAATACTTTAGATTTCTCAGGTTATGATAGGAAGACAAAGGAGAGTTATTGCTTAAGAAGTATATAATTTTAGTCTGGAAATTAAAACTTTTGGAAATATATACTGGTGGTGATTATATAATACTGTGAATATATTAAATGCTATAGAATTGTATACTTTCAAACAGTACATTTTATATTGTGTGAATTTTAATTCAGTAAAAAAATTAGATATAATCAATATCTATAAGTATACAAAAACTTTAAAAAGTAGATAAAGTGTATTTTTTCCATAAAGAAGATATGGTGGGAAAAAAATACCTGAGACAAGAGCTAGAAAACTTAAAAACCCAGGTTTGAACCCTAATTATGCCTTTACCAATGGTATCATCTTTTGTTTTTAAATGCATATTAACTATATGAAATAATGAGCTTCACTGTGGCATTTTCATAATACTTATAACATACCTTGATCATGACTTCTACCCTTTCATCCTCCCTTCTACCCCATTCCCTTCCTCTTTAATAGTCTTCTATCTATGTACTACTACTTTTTTTTTTCTGGTACTGGAGATCAAACTCAGGACCTTGCCCTTGTAAGGCAGGCGCAGAGCCACTGAGCTAAATCCCCAGCCCTTGTCTATGTACTTGTAAATAGCACCACCTTAAAGAGTGATTTCCTCTGGCTGAGCCTCAGTTCTTCATGTGAAGAATAAGCTGTGCTTCATGCAAAGTTGAAAATCAGTATGTACACTGAAATTTCCAATCTCTAACATACCAGAAAAAGGTACTAATACCACAAATAACCTGGAATGTATTGGAACCCAAAAATGTAAAGAATGATGAATATATGGCTTTTGCTTTCTAACATTTTATCCCTTTAGCTACTAAGTTTTATGTTTTTTTGTTTTGTTGGTCCACTCCCCCACCCCAAGAACTAATGATTCAACCTGAAGTTTTTACACTGAGCTTCATTCTCCACCCCTTTTCATTTTGGGACAGGGTCTTCCTAAGTCACTAAGTTGGCCAGGCTGGGCTCAAACTTGCTATTCTCTTGCGACATCTCCCAGAGTACTGAGGTAACAGGAATGGGCCTCCACATTGGGTTTAGGGAAATCTTAAAACATTTGTTCTGAGCAAAGTTCAGTACAGTCCCAAGTGATTCAAAGAATTTATCCAGTTGGGGTATCTAGTCAGTTTTATCCTGAATCTGCAGTAGCACTCCCAGTTAGGATCAGAGTCTGTCCTGTGAAATAAGGAATACCATACAATCTACAACTATCTTTTGTATTATAAATCTCATCTCTAGTTGGAATGGGCCATTTCAAAGCTTCACTAATAATAGGGGTTGGAAAGGAGAATTTGAAACTCTATTTGTTAGAATCCTCAATAATCAGGCTCTATGTGAAAAAAGAAGCAGAACTTCTAGCTTTTTTTTTGCTAGTGGAACAAGATACTTTATATAGTAATATCTAATTTATTCAATACAATTAGCAAAACTCTCCCGCTTTTTTTTTTTTTTTTTTTTGGTACCGGGGATCGAACTCGGGTCCTTGTGCTTGCAAGGCAGGCAGTGGCACCAATGCGCAAATTCCCCAGCCCTAATCCCATTTATTTAAAACAAAACAAAACAAAAAAAAACCCTAATTTGTCTTCTTAAAATATTTAAGGAGAAAAATACATATAATAAATATTTCAGGAAATAAAAAATACATTGCAGAAATTACACTAGTTAGTACTTTTATTTTTCATATTGCTGTCACATCCAGTATTTTAAAAATTCCTTAGAAACCAAAGGAAAAAATGTAAATGTAAAGCAATTGACTGAAAAAGACTGAACATGGTCTCTAGGTAATCTGGCATAGTGTGAAGGGTCCTGTATAATAGGATCTGGTGACCTGATTCGAGTCCAAGGTCTTCCATGTGAAGATCTATGTGAGATTGAGAATTTGCTACACCTCTGTGACTGTACCTGGACAACTAGAGAATTAGGTAATAATTTTCCCAAAGAAGTTTTTTTTGGCTTTAAATTTAAGCAATAGAACCTTTTCTTCAAACAAGCTCTTCCAAGAAGCCCACTATTTCAAAAAAGTAAACTCAAAGCTACTCCCTTTGAAGTAAGGTAGAAAATACAGATGTCTGCTTTCTGGCCCTTATTTTCCTGGCAGTCTCTAAAGTACCACTGAAGAAGCTTTGGGGCTCCACAGAACATGGTTTGAAACCCAATGGGCCATTAAAAGCATCTCATCCCTTCCTGTACTACTAAGTCAGGGTATCACTAATATATGCATACAAATGTTTATTTCTGAAGTTGTTCTTTTATTATAAATAAATTTTTGGAAAATGAAGAAAAAGTTCAGGAAAGCCTTCCTATCATAAATCATGCCACTCTAGTTTAATACCGCCATAAAATTAAATCAATTAATTAGATCAAAGGAATATATTTTTCACTTTTTTTATATCTTTCTTAATATAACTTACTTTTAATTTAGTGTAAATGATTTTATTTCTCATTTTTATCCTTCCGTAGGAATGGCAGATTTTAAATAAATATACATATACAGATGCATATATACAGTTCTTTTCCAGTAGCTTCCTGTATTCTTAGATCTAGCAAATCATCATTTGCAATCAGCATTAAATGCCAATCTGTGTTCCTGTTAGGATCTCACTTGCTGCTCTAACCCATCTTTACAAATCTTGCTATATGCCTTAATCCATTCAAATGCAACTGTGACACAAAATATTACAGACTTTTAAAAACCTGTTCTCTTGAAAAAAATTGTGGAGCATCAGTAAACAGATAGTATTCTCAAATTTCAGTGATCTAGTCCATGGAGCCGTCCCCTATGCACAGTGCTCTGTTTCATGCAGTACATGGCTTTAGCTGGCCAAATCTTTTTTTTTTTCCCCCCAATGAATCAGTAGAACAGTAAAGATCTTACTTTTTTTTTTTTTTTTTTTTTTTTTTAAATGATTAAGCATTTTCCATTTATTTTCTAATATCAGGTTTGCTGAAGTAGCTTGTTATATATTTAGCCAAGAAATGGAATGTTTGGAGGCTGAACATATGCATCTGTGGTGTAAATCAAATATAAATTTCCTCTTATGCTGTAAATGTTTTTTTTTTTTTTTTTTTTTTTTTTTAGCAGTGGCATATCAATGAGGCACAGATGTGTATTCCAACTCTGCATGGATGAGCACACTGTTCAATAGTGCTGGCTCACACGGTATCAGGGCGAGTTATCACTTCCCATGAAGGCACTCTTATCACCAGGGCCCAGAGAGGTGGCTGCAAATCGCAGCCTTTTTATTTTCAAGGCAGTTTTGCTGAACATTCAGGCTTCAAAGATTCACACTTCCAAAACTCTATAAGAGTTTGTGAACGCTCAATTTGCCAAAACTGTTTACAGTGTAATTGGGCACCGTACCTGTGTCCATGAGATAGCGAAGGCGCTTCTCCACCAGCGCGGCACGGGTGTCAATTTGCTTTTGCTCATTCTCTAGTGCTGCCAATTCTCCTACAACATACTGACTGGTGTCTTTGAACCCTTTCTGTTAACGAGAACAAACAGGAAGGAAAAAAAAATCACTTGTAAGTTGCATTTTCTCCTTTTTACTAACACTTAGTAAAGCACTTACCTAGAGAACCAAATACACCCTTTGTATCATCCTCAGTACCAAATAGCAAGTCCTTCCCTATGATTTAGAAATTTCTCATATGTATGATGTATACCAAATGTTTGAAAATAGAAAATACTTCAGCTGTTTAATATTATATTTATAATTCCATATTCAGATTTGCCAAATTTAATAACTTAACACTAAGTTAAAAATTCTCCTTAGAGTTAAGTCAAAGTTGCTTAGGCATGAATAAGAAAATAAGAGAATTTTTTCCCCTTGGTGACTTTCAAAATAAACCTTTAATTCAAATGTGTAATATATAAAAATAGGGTTTTACTAAGGAATTGATCCTTAAAGTATGCATCATGAGAGAATCAGATTTGTTCTAGAATAATAAAAATTAAAGACTTTTTTGCTTTCTATTTAAGATGTTCTTCAAAAAACAGTACGCTTGCAGTACTTCTATTTTGCCTTCCAGCTAGCTTCTGTATTTAAATATTCCATTCTGTTTACATATTACTAATTATTATAGCAGTACATTTTAACCCGACAGGTGGTCAAACCTTATGAGACAGGATCTAATGCAAGTAGCATACTGATTGGTTAATCTACCATTTAGCAAATTTTTATTTCAATTTAAAAATTTACTTTTTAGTTTTATCTACATTTTAAAAATGATGCTTAGAAGTTTTATTTAAAATAGCAGCTTTATTATAAAGTGCCATATATCCTTAATTTTTTTCCCCATTTCCTCCCCCTTTCTACAGTGCTGCAGTTTGCAACCATGGCCTCAGGCTTGCCAAGCAAGTACTTTACCACAGAGCTATACCCTCAACCCTTTTATTTTCCTACTAGAAATTTAAATCATTACAGGAAGGGTTGTTGTTTATGGATAAATATAGCTCCTTTTAGATTACCTGTTTACCTTTTGATACTTTTAGAGCAAAGAAAACTAAGTAGCTGAGAAATACTGAAGAAATGCTTAAGTGATTACTTTCACCAACACCACCACTTCAATCAACACTTACAATATTATTTATTCAGAGAAATAAATGTGTGCAATATTCTTTTAATTGCTTTCCCTATCTAGAAGCCTATTAATCTCTAAGAAGCTATGAGGAATTGCCTTTTGGTATTTCTTAAATAAGAAACCATCAAAAATTATGTTAATTATGAGCATATTTTGGAATTCTAACCATCAATAAACATGTGTAACTCAACCTATATGCCTTCTAAGCGAGTAAATTATTTGTACTCACATGTGAACTCAATTTTTAACAACTAATCATTAAACTTATTAGCAGTGAACAAATTTAAAGGTGAAATATTTTCAGAAATAAAACTGATTATTTCTCAGGATACTTTGATTAAAAAACACTATTTTTAAGAGTCAAAATGGATACGCTTCCATTTCAATACAAAATATAACTGAACAATTATAAGAATAAATGCTAATGGTAACTTTAAAATTAAGAATAAACTGGTAAAAAAAGAGAAACTGCTGAATGCTTTCTGAACCTATCTACCAGATACCAGAGCATTTTCAAAAGAGATTTTTCCTTTTTTGTCCCATCTAAAGGGATAAAACAAATACGATAGTTTGCAAAGACAATATAAATAACAACACTGTAAGAAAGCAGAAAACTCCAGTGCTTTTACTGATTAGCTCAGTTAAAACTAGTATCAAATTTCATAATCAGATTTCTTTAGTGTGAATATATAGTATCTTCAAGTATTCTACAACATATAAGTTATGGGAAATACTTCATCAGGATATGCAGTGAAATCCTTTGTACATACACCTTTCTAGGTCTTCTAAAAATAAGTAACTTAAAACAAGAAGCTTTTAGAGTTCTAAAATGCAGTTGGTAACTGAATACCCTCATAAGGATTTTAAAATCCAACAAAGACTATTTCAACCATAAAAACAATGAAAATATTGAAACAAACTATAGATAATAAAAATGTAGCACTATTTTAAAAAACTAGGTTTCCAGAGAAAAATTCAAGTTAAGACTTGTTCTTCCTGCTTCTGTCCCGCAGCTGTCCATCAAAAGCAGCTTTCTCCCCGCGGTCTATCAAATATTTCCCTCACAAATCAATTTTACACATGATCAGCCCATACCCCTACTGAGCTGAACCTCCCCGTTAATTAAGTGAAGAAATTACCATATATATTATATTAATGCAAACATCATTCAGCTAGTAATTCACGGCTGATCTGGATAATGGAAAGGTTGAACACCCATTAACCCAAGCCAACAAAATGGGTTGGCTGAGAAATTCTAGCAGGTCTCATGTGACTTTTCCCTCTAACTGCAGCTCTGCGGTATCTGCTATTGTAATAATTAAAATCCTCCCGGTAGATCAATACTGGAATCTCTTTATGGGAAGTGCCCTGATGGAAATGTCTCAAGGAAGCTGGGGCTATGGAACTCTGAAAAATTCATTTTTTTTATCTGACAATTATCACCACACTGCAGACTAATTCAACAGTGCACCCCTCTCACTCTGCTTTGAATGCACTGGAGATTGACATCTTAAAAAACCTAACATCTCATTTTAACAAATAAAGGCACTATTTCCACATACAGTTTGGAATTATCAGCAATCATGAAACCACACAAAAAAATTAATATACATTAAGCACTTCATCTTCTGATGGCTTCCTCTGAGTTTCAGTTATCGCTGCCTTCTCCTCATTTCCCTTCTTTGTATCTTCTTGTATTGATCTCTGCCTTTTCATCTCTTAAAAAAAGAGGAGAGACATGTAAAATTATTACAAAGCTGATATTTATGTACTAAAATGTGGATTTATACTATCAGCTTTTAAATATATATATACACACCTATATACATACATACACATATGTATCTTCAGATATTAAATCATAAGATGGGAGAACACTTTTTAAAATTGTTCCTACCTGGTCTATTCTCAACATATTGACTGAAAGACTGAAGTTGAGTTTTTCTGACTGTAGAATCCTTGCTGAACACAACAGGATTTCTAAAACCTTCTGTTGCTTTCTGTAATCGTTCAGTCCGGGGATCTTCTGTGCCATTCTAAAAGTAAAACAAAACATGGCATGAAAGTCCTAATTTTATAAACATGAAATTATCCACTAGAGAGGCAACTTTTGCTAATTTAAGATAATGCTGACTTAAAATTTTAGAAACTCTTAGAAGGAAAAATAATTTTAAAGTACTTAAAAACTGTAGTTCAACTATAGCTTCTGTTGCCTATAATAAAAAATTTAGGGATATATGGTTTAAACCCTTGATAACATTGATACATTAGATACTACGAAGCTCTCTGTCTTTTCTAGGTGACAGGTATCATTTAAGTCATGTTGTCCCTAGTGTCCCTACTATTCTGCCTCATCAGCTTGTATAGTCCCACAAACTTGTATGACAAGAAGAAATAGTTTCTAATTTTATGCCCATTGAGATAAACCATTAATGCTGGATGAAGGCTAAAAGGTAGGATTATAATACTACCCCACTGAACTGCATTTCATCAGCTATAACTTTCCAAAGCCAGATTTGTAAGTAAGCCCTTTACAGCTAAGAAAACTACAATTATCTTTTCCGGAGCTTCCTATGTTAATACTGGTAACAAATTCAAATGGTTCTATCAACAAGAAATATCCCAGAAGACTGAACCACTGCAGTGTGTGGAAGCTGCAGATACCGAGGTGCTGTGTACCAAACAAATATTTCATTTTATACCTAATCTTTTATTATTTTTATTAAGTGTTTTGAAAGTAAATAGGGAAAGGCTAAGATGCATGACTAATAGCTAAGCCTGCTGAATGCTGAAACTGGTTATCAAAAGCTACCAAGACTTTGCCCTTCCTCTGCATTGAGACAATCAGTAATGAGGGAGCCCTCCAATGGCCTATTCTCTAGCCTCAAGGAGGCCTGGGATACAGAATCCTCAAGGGAAGGTAACAGTTTATCCTTTTCCACAAACACAGAATGCCTCGTTTAGTAATGTGTAAACTGCATTTTATCAAAAAAATGAAAACCCAAATCAATGCTGAAAGCTTCAAGAGAACAGATGGACTCTATATATTCTTTATAAATACTGTTTTCAAATATTAACTAAAGAGATTCATACAAAGAAAATATGTTTCAAGCATACCTTTTGTTGGAATAACTAAAATTATTACATAAGTGTGCTTTGGAAAGCAAAACCAATTTCACTTAGGAAGATAATTAAACCATAAGAATGAAAATATCTTTATTTTACTTTTTAAAAGACATCTGATACATTTATCATTAATATCATCCTTACAATATCCTAGCTAGGTAGCTCAGACAAATAATTTTTTTTTTAGGAAAAGTGAATTCTGTTATTATAGTAACTATCCAATAAAGTAAAAACTCAAGTCTTTACAAAAATAAACAAACAGCTAAATTTTTTTAGGCCTGGCAGCATGCTAAAATATCAGTATGATTAACCAGCAAATCCCATCTTAAGAAGCCTTTTTATGACTGGGGACTTCTGCCACTTTACAAATGTATTCCTCTAAACCCACTAATTCAGTTAGCCTTTTCAATCCATTGTATTATTCTTAGGCCAGCTTCATTCTGCATTAAACTCACTGCAGAAAGCTAAATTGAACGCAAAAAATCAGACCTGATCCAGGCTTCCTTTTGTTCAAAGATAGAGACCAAAAGTCCTCTGTTGCTGCCACACACTTTCATCATCAATTTACAGAGACCGACTATATAGGGAAAAAGCAATGAAAGTCATTGTTTTGGGACTTCAAAGCATCTCTGTGTCAGGGGAAGGAAATCCTTTCAGTCAGCAGAGCAATCCCCATAGTCCGCAGGTGGGTGAAAAGTTATACAGGACTGAAAGCGCCCTAAAGCTAGAGAAATACTAATGATACACTGTGAGGAAAAGATGGGAACATGTGGGTGGGGATAATATAGTCAAACAACAATAATAATATTCTTATAACGTGGCATTCTGGCTAAAATGTTATATTAGGTAAGAGTCTTAATGGTACAAAACACATGTAAGTATCTTAAATGCTTATATTCAGTCATATTATCTTCAGATATGATATATTCTTATAAATAATATAAATTCTAGATCATTTGAACAGAAAGTTGAAGGTGACAAAAAACATGCTAGAAATTTCTTGGCAATACTGTTAGAAAAATATTTATTTAGAACTGAACAGTAGTTTCCATATACCTTCTACTTGAAACAGCTGTTGAAAATAGTAGTTTCTCTGAAAAACAGTATATGTATACTTATTATCATAGTGATATTTAACTTACAGGCTAGTTAATACAAATTTTAATACCTTACTCTTGTGAATAATTTAATAAAATTTTTTTTGTTTTTTGTTTTTGGTACCGGGGATTGAACTTAGGACCTTGTGCTTGCAAATTAATAAATTGTTTTTAGGATTATAAAGTGCCAGAAGAAACTAGAAAAATACAGATACTGATCCAAATCTTAAATAAGTAAGATTTACCTTAATGTCTTGCTCTGAGCTCTCTGCTACAGCTTTCTGGGTAGTACCAGAGAGTGCCACCTGTGGCTGAACTTCTAGAAATTTCTTCAGCTTCAAGTCCATCAATTTACTATTTTGTTCTGTTAAACATAAACATACCATGAATAATGAGTAACATGCATTTAGATGTATGAGCCACCAATTTACGATAACATCATAAAATATTTCTATATTTTAAAGGAAGAAGAAAAGGACATTAGAGAGCTATAACACATCAGACCAGACCAAACATTTAGGAAGCACTCCTTCTCTTCTCTCCCACCCCATCTCAGCTTACCTAATGAAAACTAAATTATAGTAAATAGTAGCTATGCATACCTGAAAAGCTAAGATGTATGTGATGCATATATTTATATAAATAACTAATATAGTACATATAATAAAACAGATTCGAGTTGAGATAAATTTTATTTCAAATTATATTGTCATTTCAATTTTAGAATATAATGCCATATAACAAGTTCTTAACATAATCTCAGCCATGTACACACTATTAGATTCAATGTATAATACACACATTCGGCACCAGAGTATAACTTACAAATACTTTCTACTTAGATGGGAGAACTGCAACAAAGACTAACATGTTTTTGGAATGTTTTAAATACAGAGTAAAAATTTAAATATGACTATAATTTTTAAAATAAATTATTTTAGCAATCTTTAAAAATTAAATAGTTTAGAAGTAAGTAGAAAAATAAATGTTTGTACTTAAAATTCACACAGTAATTTTTAATAAAATGGTTGGCTGTAAACGACATGCCAACCATTTGGTGAATGATATTTTTCATGAAGATTAATAACTTTTCTAATTATAATACTTTTAATAAGTGGTATTATCATTACTTTCATGCAAATTGGTCAGTTTATACTGCCAGACTTCTTTTTTAAACAATATCTGATGAACTATGGTCAAATCAAGATAAAGATGAAACAATTTATTATTAAAACATTATGACTTTTTTGTACATATTAAAAAAGAATTTTGGGGAAAATAAATCAAGGATAAAAATCATAATATATTTTACATGCTTCCAGATTGCAGTTTGCATTCCTATTTGTTACTGCCATAAAATGAACTAAGATGTAAATTGGGAAGCCTGACTATGCACATATCAATGCTTATTGACATGCTTGGGAGCTATAAACAATATATTAGCTAACTATAAACAGGAAGACTGAGATGTATTTTTTCTTTTAGTATAAAGTAGGAAGAGATTATTTTTAAAAGGACAAGGGTTAGATCTGTAAAATTAACAAGTTTTTTTAAAGCATCTCATAAAGTTGCATTAGCTGAGACTGGAAAATTTCCTTCACCTTACCTAGAAAAGAGTTATTTTTTCCTATCTTCCTAATATAATACAAAGAATGTGTGCATTACTTACTAATTTTATATTTTCATAAACTGAATACTAAGGCTTCAGTTACTCACTATGTATTTCCTTAACTGTGAAAAAATACTAATCAAGCTTTTGGTTGTAGCTCTGAGAGGGTAGGTAAGCAACAACAAAAATTTTTTCATATAGAAAAATCAACCCTACCCAAGTTCTACAGTATTTAAGAAAAAAGTAAAATATTGTTCTAATTTTGATCTAAACATTTAAAAAAATTCCCTACATACCAGAATCTCTTGGACTCCAATAATTAAAAACACACTAACCTTTAGCTAATAATAATGTATTTTAATACTAGACCCTGAAGGAACTCGTATGGCTAGGAAGATCCTGGCTAACTGTTTCTAAAACTATGACAGGAGAAGTAATAGCATAATTCTAAGCAGGAGAAAAAAACAAAGCAGGTTAAGACTGTAGGGGCACTGGGCCTGTTATTTAGCTCAGGGGTGTGGTGCTGCTGCCTACATCGCAAGCACAAGGTCCTGCGTTTGATCACGGTACAAAAAGATTGTAGGGGCATTCCAAAGATGGAAAAAAGAATGCCTGCAGTCATCCCTTATAGCATCTTACAGGAAAATATGATTATTAGGGACTGTCTCCTTACCTTTAAGTCTAAGAAGACCACCAAAACATTTTTATTGTTACAAGTATTCAACATGGAACCCCTCAGGTATACAAAATTTTGGATTGCTATTTGCTGCTGGTTTATAAACACAACACACATGAACACTCACTTATTAAAAACCACCAGAAAGTTATCTTTACTTATTATTTTGGTGGGGGGAGTAAGACAGGGTCTCACTATGTAGTTCAAGTTGACCTTGAACTCACTACATAGCCCAGGTTTGGCTCAAACTCATGGCAATCTTCCTGCCGCAGCTTTCTAAGTGATGGGATTACAGATATGTACCACTACACTAGGGTAGCACTATATTTTTAACAAGAATCTACAAAGGTCAATTCTCAATGTGATTTGCTGCCTTACTGACATTAAGATATTTCATCATAGTAGGTTTTTTTTTTTTTTTTTTAAGCCATGATTTCAATCTTTCCTAGGCTGGTCTTGAACTCATAATCCTCCAGAGTCGCTGGGATTACAGGCATGTCCAGCATGCCTGAGCTTTCATATCAAAATATTTAAGGAGAGAAGAGAAGCAGTCAATGAATGTCTGCAAACTGTCTCATGAAACAAAATATAACAATGACTCAGTAATAAAAAATACAAGGTACAATTTGCTATCTCAATGTTACTGCTATTTTAATATTCAACCCAAAACAAAATAACATAACATTATGGAAAAGTAGATTTAGCTAAGTGATGTGTGAGGGTACAAAGTGTAATAAAACTACAAAATGAATATATTATTGATGAGATAATAAAAATATAGTTATAAATTTTGCCATGCAAAAGCATACAAAACATTTATAATTTGAAATTACCAGGAGTATCAAGGTCATTTTCTAAGTTAGTAAGTTCATCTCCACCTCCTACAACAAAGCCTTCAGGAATCTCCTCGTTATTATCTATCTCAATATTATCATTCTCATCTGTAGGAACATGTAGCAATAATGTTAGTATATTATTTATATTTTATAGCATTTGTTCACAACACCAAAGAAGAAAAACCAGTATTTCTATGACAGTTATTCAAATTGAGATCTGACAGACAAGTAAGTTAAGAAATCAGTCTGAAGTCATTTTTTCACTATTGGATTAACATTTATATTTTACATTCTTATGTCAAAGATGAATTATCACATCAAAGCAGATGCAAAAAGTATTGACAATTTGCCACATGCTGTTTCTGAATTAGCTGAGCTCACTGAGTCCTTAAATTTTAAAGTGTAATCTCTAATAGCATCACACAAAAATAAAATTGATTTGATGAAAAGGTTATCAAATAGTATTTTAAAATTTCTTTCTTTCTTTTTTTTGAGACAGGATCTTACTCTGTAGTCCAGATTAGCCTTGAACTACCTGGGTAGCCCAGGCTGGCCTCAAATTTGGGGTCCTCCTGCCTCACCTCCTTAATGCTGGGATTACAGGCGTAACACTGCAAGTCTAAATTTCATTTTTATCATTTGTCAGAAATAAGTACATAAAGAAACATATAGGTCTTTATAAATTTGTAGCTATATTTAAGTCCCACTTTTATCATGATTTCATTGGCTTTTTACTAATGAAATATTATCATAAAAGCATGATGGTTAGATTAAGAGACTAGAATACAGTACTTTTAAAAAATAGAAGGCTCAGAAACAACTATGACAATATATCTTGAAAGTGTCAAAATGGGGAAAAATTATTTTTCAAAATTAAATACACGGGAATGCAGAAGAACACTATTTTTTATATCTTTCGTAAAATATTTTAGGTCATTAATAATTAGTCAATTTTTAATCATTAAAGCTTTTTAGTATACATTTTTCCTCTATGAATCCTAGTGATAAAACTGATTAAATAATTATTAATTCTATACATTTGAAAAGGCAAAAAAGAAAAGATGTGGTATGTATATGTACCACTTCCCCGTGATGAATGTAATCATTATGTAATACAAACATGTACTAATAAAAAAAAGATATAGCAATAACATAATTAGCATATCAGAAGTTTAACTTTAAATTCTGTTCTTAACAGGCAATAAAGTGTTGGAGAAATATCTGTAGCCCTGGGAAGTGAAGAAAACCCTACTATTCTGCACACCACCACCCCTTATCGGAAATTGAACTCAGGACTTTGTGCTTATGAAGTAGGAATGATGTCACTGAGCTAAATTCCAGGCCTTGTATTTTTTTTAATGGGGAGCTTTTAGCAATGGTAAAGCATTCCAAAGACTTTTTCCAATTCAGACATTATAAAATTTCAGTTTTGGTTTTATCCCTAAATATTTATCCCTGTATAAGACTGTACATTTTTATGCTTGATTTTTGGCTTCCTAAGTAAATACTAAGAACATAATTATTATTAGTAATAATAGCAACCATTTAATGAAGAAGTCCCATCTACTGTATAAGTCATTTAGAAGAAAAAATTTAAAAAAACAATTAGGGAGGGGACACAGAAATGGACACACTGTTAAATGCTTTCAAAGAAATAGCTAGGGTGTTATACTTGGCTACATTATTTTAAGTGTAATCTGTTGAGAGATCTTTTCTAATCAACTACTTAGCTCAACTATTTGACTCCTTTCATAAAAGTGACTATCTTCAATTTTATTTTTCTCAAAAGTTAAGTAATTTTATAGCTTAGAAATGAACTAACAAATATTTCATAGTGTTAAAAAAAGGTGTTCAGAATACGTTTTCAGCCTCACTCTGTGCCAGAGACAATCAGTATTAATTGCCTTTGGGGACCTCATGTACATTTTATTGCTGTCAATCAGCCTCCACTGATGATTTCTGACCATAAACGACTTAGAACAAAGGTATAAAATTCAGTATTTATTCATCTATTGATCCAAGAAACGTCTATGTGCTGTATATACAATCTGTAAAACATTGTGCTAGATGTTGAAGAGACATCAAGTTCTACAAGACATTTATTCTTCCTGAAAAGAATACATTTGAAATGATCATAATAACAGGATGGGTGTTATGGTGTAAAATCAAGACACACAGCAAATTCAAAAGATTACAAAGCCTCTTTGCCAATAACATCAGAAATTCCTTATTGGAAGAACTAACCTTTAACGTAGGTCTTGAGAAAAGTATAGAATTTCAGGAGGTACCAGTTGAAGGGAGAACAGTACAGGCATGAAAGCATGCAGGGATGGGTTACATTGAGAGAATGGTGTAAAGTAGTATTTAGCTCTAGTGTACTTAAAAGGAAATAATAGGTGAGACTTGAAAGACAAAACTGTAGGGAGCCCTGGAAGGCAGAATGTGGGAAGTTAATATTTTACATGGCAGGAATGGAGAGACATTGGTACTCTAACATGATCAGTGCTAGCAGAATAAGAAGTTTTCAACCAAAGTGTCTCACTGTAATCCGCTGACATGTAATTTATTAGTAGTAATATAGCCCTTAAGCTTATATCTTTTACAAATTAGAGCAGCTTCAATATTATTCTTATAATATTATTCTTGCTTATATTCTCACATGCCTTCGAATGTGAAAAAAAAAGTGGCTTAGTGATTGTACATGGAATAATACTGTGCAGGTAAATTTCACGTAAAATTGCTGACCTAGGTTTTGACAGAAACAAAGGCTGGAGGAAGGAAATCCAGATCAAAATCTTATGCAACCTCCATGCATGCAGTATGAAAAGTTTAACCTGGGATAAAAGAATTGAGAGTGGGTATAACATGATTTGAAAATCCAATGAATTACTGGGTTACAGGAGATACTGAAGAGTGTAAGGGGAGGCCAACATCAAAATGGACTCTCTAGCCTGACAACTAGAATGATGGCATTACTATGAAAGAAACAGTTAAGTAAGGAGATGTGGTTGGATATGGGTACTTTCAGGTTCCAGAAATATACATAAAATTATACCTCCTTTCATTACCCACTTACACAGTGTCAGATTCCTCTATAATGTTAAGTAGGCATCACTCATTTTATTTCCAGGCTAAATGAAATCTCTATGTACACTATTATTCACGAATATGCTGAGTGGCTTAATCCAATATATCGCTAACCTGAGAGATAAGAATTAGTATTTGGAAGGGCAAGAGTAAAAACTGCTCTACATAGTTCAGGTTTTCTTAAGAATGGATTTCTACCTTCCATTTACTAACTTTAGTTTTACAATGAACCTTGAATTGTTTTCAGCAATTAATATTTCCTAACATCTGTGGAAATGCTCTACATGCATTTTAGCAGAACTAAACAATATGGGCATGTTATGTGCCTAAGTATATGTATTCAAAGATAGCACATATATAAGGATAAATATAGATAGGTACAGATATTCTTGTGGCTAACCTTTGAAAATCCAGTAGGTAAATAGAGATTCATTATATAATTGAAGCTGCTTTTCAATTGTAGCATATATTGTGTGCAGGAACAGTTAAAAGGTGATTAGATATACACAAGAATGTAAAAATAAATTCCATTTGGCAACAAACACTACAAGCAAAATACGGTTCCCAACAGCGCGATTAAAAGCACAGCAATATGTCAGTTTTATTATTTTCCTGTATAAAATGAACAAAACCCAGATATCTGGTGACAACAGCCAAAAGAATATCTGCAATCCAAAAAAAAGATCCCGGGGCTATCATTAAACAGGCATATGGTGGTTATCTTAGATCAACTTTGGCTCTCACCAAGAGTTTAACCATAGGTGGCAACTGCCAACATCCTACATATCCTGTGTGCCATGGGAGAAGTAGATATTGGTTACTCTGGACTCATTAGGAGCAGGGAAACTGACTCTTTAGAGATACTCATAACACATCAGTAGAACCTGCTGCTTCTTCATTTGACTTTCCCTGTTTAGTCTGTACTTTTTTTTAAAAATTGGTGGTACTGGGGATTGAACTCAGGAGACTTCATCTTCAGATATTTTTTTCCCCTTATTTTGAGACGAGGTCTTGTTACATACCTAAGTTGCCCAGGTTGGACTCAAATTTGGGAGTTTGTCCTGCCTCCTTCTCCTCCAGTGCCAAGATTTCAGGCATGCACTATCATACCTTTACTAGGCTTTACTTTTTTTTTTTTTTTACCAACTCCACAGATCCAGTTCTCACTTTTTAAAATTTTATTTACCTTGACTGCTGAACGATGACAAATTCAGGTCTCTAGTTTCCTCGCTACATGGAAGACAATCATTCTGTGGGTTGTAACAGTGACAAACTCTTTTGCCTAGTTTAATCCTGGTATACCCTCAGGTGGAGTTGGGTTATAAAAATAGGACTTACCCATTCCATACCATTAATTACAACTTTTGTACTGGGAATTGAACTTGGGACCTTGAGCTTGTGAGGTGGGCAGCAGAACCATGGAGCTAAATCCCCGGCCTATTTGACATTTTAACTTTTTTTTTTGTGGTACCAGAGATTGAACTCAGGACCTCACACTTGTGAGGCAGTCAAGGTGCCACTGAGCTAAATCCCCCAGCCCTTTTAACTCCTAACATTTTCAGAATTTACAATTCATTTTGCAATGCTATCTCCTCACCATTCAAAAAGACATCGTATGCTTCTCCATAGCTCTCTGCTGTCAATAAGAAGGTGGCATTAGAAGCATTAGGGCATAAAGAACATGGTTTTTTTTTCTATCATTCAGAGATATAAGGAAGCAATGATTTACAAGACCTTAAATATCTGAAAATTTTTATGATAAAAGAAATACTTTGTCATTAGTAATAAATCAATCCAAATTCTTATAACATCATATAAATGTAGCCATGAGTAGTTTTTGATGTTACTATAAAATTGTAGTTATAGAAATCACAGTAACAGGGCTGAGGGGTTTAGCCCCAGTGACGGAATGCTTGCCTGGCATGTACAAGGCTCTAAGTTTGATCCCCAGCAATGAAAAGACAGAGAAAAATAAACTGCAATCATAATCCTGGTAATAGGAGCTAAAAAGGTAAGGTGAAGGATTTAACAAAGATATCAACAAACTAAGAAGTCTCTGGGGACAGATTCTCAGCTGTTTGGGAAAAAAGCTTTCATTTTTATGGGAAAGTAAAATGCCACAGGCATCACTTAGAATTCTCTACAACATTAAATTTTTAATATAAGTAATAAATTAAAAACAACAGCAGTAAGTTTCAATTTATTACTTTGAAGAAACTTATCACTGACCTAGAAATAGTTTACTGTCATTTCCGACCTCAAATGTCTTCTTTGAGATCTCATTTGAGATGGCTATTTGTTAGGGTGATCTTACCATTCTAAGATTAACTCAGGACAAATACCTGGCATGTTTTGGTAGATGAATAAGTTATATACCTTTAAAATAAAAAGCCCATAGGTCTCTTGCATATATTCCTACTAAATAAAAATATTTAAACGTTTAAAATTAAAGATGATAAAACTAAAATACAGAGTTTTGTCCCAGCATTAAGCTTAGCATAATCTCTGCAAATGCTGAAGGCCATCTCAAAATAAGTAAAGAAAGAAGACTAAAAAGAAACTGATATAAGACTTACTAAAAATTTACACACATTAGAGGTTATAATTCTAGAATATTATGAAAGATATTTTTTAAAGATCTCATTCAAAGTGAAAAGACTTGAGGCTGGAAGTGAAGTTCAGTATTAAAGCATGTGGATAGCAAGCACAAGATTCTGGGAATGATCCCCAGAACAAAACAAAATAAAATAAGACAAAGTGAAAGTCTTTCATGGCAAAGCTCACTAAATAATAAGACTTATAATCTAGATGCTGAAGACTTAATTGAACTGTACTTACTTCTAACACATCAAGGCATCATAGGGTACTATAAACCAGGGTCCACATGAATTTTCTACCATAAAAGAAAATTTCCTGAGTTTTTAAAAATTAAGCCAAAAGATTGATCTGGAAAAAGCAAAGGTTATATTCTGATTACTATGCTTCCTGTAGATTTTTTCAACAAAGCAATAGGTTGAAAACTATGTTTTGATGCAACATTTTGAAGTGAGAATAAAAAATCCTAAAAGGTCCACTGCAGATTTCTGGGTTGTCTGTAGAATATGATATAAGATGCTTTAACTCACCTCCAGATGCCTTTGACCTTTCTTTCAACTTTTCTGCAGCCATTTCACCATAGCTGGGAAGTTCTGACATCTTCACTCCAGATCGAGCTTCTGCTATTAGCTGACGAGCTCGCTCTCTCAGCTGCCGACGTCGCTCTTCATCTTGCTGCTAAGATATATTGAACAGTTGCCAACTCAGTAATTGACAGAAATGCAATTTCATTTTCAATCTGATCATCATGATAGTAACTGGTTTACAGCATGGTGCTTGGCCCACATTATAAATAGGATGCTCTATATCAGTTGGATGTCACACCATTTTAAAAAGACATCCTAGAATCAGACTTTTAAAAATATTAACAAATTATTGTATTAAAATATCCATTAAAATTCAAACTAAAGAATGTTTTGTAATACATATTACTGAGGAAATACCAGGAATTATTAATAAAAGGATCAGTTTCTAGAAGAAAAACCACAATGCTGAGAACAGAATTCCAATTAACATTTTCTTAAGAATACAATTTAACTTGCTATTTTCTAATAAAGATATATAATACTAGCTGAAAGACACCTTTTATAGCAGAAAATACTGCTCTACTATGTTGATCAAATATAGGAATAGTATTTTTCCAAGAGTGAGGACAGTAAATCAGTACACAGTTTTGATTTAAAGACCACCAACAATAATATCCCAATCATGCTATGAAATTCTTTATGGTTATTTCTTCTCCTGAAAGAAGAATGCATATTGAGAAGAAAAAAATGAGGTGTAAAATATGATTGTTCAATATAAAATAATTAAAATCTACAGGTGATAGCCATTGGCTTCTAAAAAAAGGGTTATTATAAATTGCAAATAATGTGAAATTGCTTTGTAAACTAGAAAATAAGGCACTATTATAACAAAACAAAGACTGAAATAATCTGGTTCCAATATATCACTTCATTGTTATCTTTCCTTAACATCTAAACTTCCAGAAAATTTCCACTTATTCATACAGAATGATTGTACCATATAGCTTCTTGTAGGTTTGGATACGTCATTTCCTTTTCCTGGACTGTATTTCTCTCATATGATTTAACTCATACTCATTCTTCAAAATTCAGCTTTAATCTACGAAACCTCCTCTGACTGAACCCCCATCACTACTGATGGAATAAAGTGCTTCTTCTATGTTGCCATAAGGTATCATGTGTATATGTGTATTAATTTTTCTAAAACAATATTTGTCGAGTTGTAACTCAGTAGAGGTGCTTCCTTCCTCTAGAACTGAGGAGCTATATGTGATTTATCTTTGTATCTCTAGTCGTTAGTACATACCTGGTACCATATTAGGTGCTATAAAAATTTCCAGCATGAAAGTTTACAATTCATACTCCCAGAAGGTTTATGATGTAGAGGGAAAGATAAAGTATCCAAAATAAGGAAGTATGATCAAATGCTGCAAGAGCTCAGAAGAATATTTTTGGCTGAGGAGCAGATAGAAGGCATTATGGTTCTAAGCTGGGCATGAAGAACAAGTAGAATTTGGAATGAGGAGAGATGGAAGTTGGTAGTTAGGTGGATCAGTGCAGGAAAGACTGGAAGGTAGGAACAAAACAAAGGTAAGAAAGCATATTAGGGGAAAGAATATAATCTAGTTTTCCTATACATAGGAAAAATAGTGATATAAAGACAAGGTAGAAAAAAATTAAGCTTGCAGATATTATAAAGGCCCTGCAGAACAGGTACTGGGGATTGAACTCAGGGCTTTTGCACTGAGCTACATCCCCAGCCCATTTTTAAAGTTTGTGACAGGGTTTTGCTAAGTCACCAAAGTGCCAGGTTGGGCTTAAACTTGGGATCCTCCTGACTCACTTCTAAAGTGCTGAGATAAAAGGTTCAAACGTCTATATCACTTTATTTGTTTTTATGAGCATATTCTCTCTTTTTTGTTTTTAATCTAAGAGAATTATCAACCAGAGATTTATTTGAGAAAGATCAATATAGTAACAGTCCATAAGATAGGCTGGCATAAAAGGACTCGAAAGAGACTACTTAAAGGATTGTATAAGAGACCAAGGAAGCTATCATGAGATCAAGGAAGAAATGGAAATAGGAATAAAAAGAATGAAATGAAAGAAACACAACAGATAAGGACTTGGTATATACACTGTGTAGCAATTCTTGGTTACCAGATATGAGGGAGGTAAAAAAAAATGACTCAGAAGTTTTAAAGTTGGGCAGTTATGATTATGGCACTAACAGAAATAGAAAAACTAAAAGGAGCTACAGTATATGAAGGGAAACAAGAAATTTAAGGTAAGGAAGAATTGTGTCTGAGGAGTTGGTAGGACAGCTTAGTAAAGATGTTAGATAGCTGGACAGTGAAATTTACTCTGATGTGAAATCAAACTAGGACTAAAGAGTTAATGGATGAAGTTACAAGAACATATAAAAGCACCTAAAGAGGGACTCTCAAGTAAAGGGAGGGCAACTGATTAAAACACGGAAAATATGTTTAGATAAGAGGAAAAGGACAAAAAGAGGGGCAGAACAACAACACTAACATAGATAGCTTCAGGATCCAACAGGAAGAGGCTTTCAACAAAAAGTGTTAGCTGCACATGGTGGCACACACCTGTAATCCCAGCACTCAACAGGCTGAGGCAGAAGGATCACTATGAGTTTGAGGCCAGGAAGGGCTAAATAGGGAGTTCAAGGCCAACCTGAACTAAATAGTGAGATCTTGTTTCAGTAAGGCAAAACAAAATACACCCCCCATCCAAAACAAACAAACAAACAAACAAAACAACAACAAAAAACCCAAACGAAATCAAAACAAAATGAGTAACTACAGCAAATGCTAGAAGTTAATGAATCTGAAAAATTTAAAAGGGCAATCAGACTTTATGAACACTACCATTAGAGACAGAGGGAGAAATCAGACGAGCAGAACTTATGGTTAGGCAATTCTTTTACTCTTTGCATGTGCAGTGGTGCGTGTGTGTGTGTGTGTGTGTGTGTGTGTGTGTGTGTGTGTGTGCGCGCGCGCGCGCGCGCACATGAGTGCACGGTCCTGGGATTGAAACCCAGGATCTTCACACTGAGCTACATCCCAAGCCGTTTAAAATTAACTAATTTTAATTTTAATTTTTTTTGAGACAGGGTCTCTCAGTAAGGTGTTAAAATGCCCAGGCTGGACTTGAATTTGTGATCCTCCTGCCTCAGCGTGTACGGTGTTGGGATTACAAGCATATATCACCACCATACTTCTTTTACAAATTTTGAGATGGTTAGAAATCAAGAAACCATCAAAATTAATAAGAATATATTATTTGGGATGCCAAGTAGATGCAGGGAGAAGTTTTAAAGTTCTCAATGGACAAACTGGGATAGTTTCAGTATCTAAAAGAATAATAGGGCTGGGGATTTAGCTCAGTGGTTTCACTGCCTGCCCCGGAAGTGTAAGGACCTGAGTTCAATCCCTGGTACCAAAATAAATAAATAAATAAATAGAGTCAATGAAGTCACACATGATTCAATGAAGATTTGAGACCATCTGATATTCAAAAAGTAGAAAGATAAAAAATTTATTGTTACCACTTGAAGCAGCCTTTTAAACAACTCTTGAAAATTAGTAATCGAAGAAAAGAATCAATTAATTGTCTTTCCAGTGGGAAATGAGCTTTAGGATATTTAAATAGTTCTAGTCAATGGAAGTTCTACTTTATAAAACAGTATCAGCTAATAACAGTTCTTCAAAAGTACAATTATAAAAAAATCACTGCAAATGATAATGACATGGCAATGATTATCAATTACTATTTAAGTTATTAGGTAAATGAATGATGGGAAACTGAATATTCATACAATGCCTTGGATTGTATTTTCCAAAAATGGCCTCAAGAGTATTTCTCATATCACATGCTCTTCTATAATGTGACCCTGCCATTACATCATTAAGAGGTGCAGTTTAATTTTTCTGGGTAGTTTAGTGACCTGCATATAATCATTAGAATGTGGAAATGTTGCAGGTGATTCCAAGGCTAGGTCAGAAAAGGTCTAGTTTTTTAAAAAATTCTTGCATTCTGCACACACTTTGGAAGCCCAGATGTCATGCGGTAGGAAGCTCAAAATTTAAATGATCCAGTCAACTGTCCCAGACAAGTTCTGCTTTGGTCATGTAGGCCCAGGTGCTAGAAATGAGAGAAGAAGCCTTCAGGGGTAGGATATAGTTCTGTGGAAGAGCACTTGCTAAGCATGTATGAGGCCTTGGGTTGAATCTGCAGGACCAACATTAAGAACAGAAGAGAACACAAAGAGAAAAGCCTTCAGTTAATCTTGGTTTCTAGCCATTTTGAAATTTCTCAGTTGTTCAAATCTCCCCAGCTAAGGTCTCAGAAAATGTGGAACACAGAAAAAACACTCTGAACTTCTGACCCACAGAATCTGTGAGCATATAACAAGACTTTTTTTTTTTTTCTTTTTTGGTACTGGGGATTGAACTCAGGTCCTTGCACTTGCGAGGCAGGTGGCAGCACCACTGAGGTAAAGCCCCAGCCTTAAGACATAGTTTTTTAATGACACTGTTTGGTGTGGTCTGTTACACAGTGACAGTAATCTGAGAGTATATTATATATTTAAGTAACACCACAAAGATTAATTTTAGTTGCAAGGGGAAAATCTAATTTGTAAATGGAGAGATCAGAGCTAGTCCTGAGATTAACAACCATTAATGTAGGGGTTGATTTTAGCATTATTAATGTTGGATGAATCATATATATATTTCTGATGAGCAGCACATAAAGTGCACACTACCTATAATATTTTACCCTAAATGTTTAAAGTGAATTGACTGCCAGGTGTGCTAGTGCATGCCTGTAGTCCCAGCACTTGGGTGGCTGAGGCAGGAGTATCACTATGAGTTCAAGGCCAGCCTGGACTATTTAAAAAAATAAAAAATAAAAAATAAAGAAAGTGAATTGACTAAGCTTTTAGAATTTCTCATATCATAAACACAGGGGATAGAGAAACATGACAAATGACACAGCAAGAAAGCAACCAAACAAATCTTTTTTTTTTTTTTTTTGGTACCTGGGATTGAACTCGGGTCCTTGCACTTGCAAGGCAGGCCACCGAACTGCTGAGCTAAATCCCCAGCCCCAACCAAACAAATCTTGCAA